AGCGTCCTCAGCACAGGACTGACAACAGTGCTTAGAAATCTAACTAGAGGTTCGGTACCAGGAGGACTGTGATCAAATGGGTAAGAGCAAGCATGATAAATGCATACAAATGCATTTTTAAGCCATGCAGCTGGATATCTGTTCCCCTTCTGCTTCGGGGCCAAGCCCAGTGGCAGGGATGGCTGCTACCTCTGCCGTCAGGGATCAGTCCAGAAACATATAAAGCTGGACATTTTCCCCAGATTCAATTAAGTGCATATGATGGTACCAACAGCTGGAAAGATTCAGAATCCTGATCTCAGGAGTTGCCAGGCAAGTCAAGAGGTTTAAAACTACCTTCAAAGGTAAATCCCTTTGCCATCTTGAACGTACACAGAAGCTGTTACTTAATAGGGATAGTTTATAATGTAAGGCGTTTTAAATATTTATAACCTAAATAAGTTACGTAAAAAAACCACACACCACCATTTCTAAGGAAAAACAATAGTCTTCTACTTAAAAGACTCCAAACTTATTCTTTTCATCAGCTGCTAAAGACAGCAAATAAATCTTGCCTGGCTGAAACAATGTAAAATTCCTTTTTTTTTCCTTATTTAAAAAAAATAAACATGAAAAATCTGCGAAGTCAGATTTTTAAAAATATATTTTCACTGTATATTCTGCCGTATAGGCATTAATAGGAACATTTCTTACTACGGATAGTTTGAGTTTGAAGATTACAGAGGATGACTCCTACTTGCTGCTTTCAAAGTCTCAGCATCCCATCTGAAGCAGACACGTGTCAAGTGGGTCGTATAGTATGACGATGAAACAGTCATTCTGTAGTTAAATCTTCAGCTGTGGAAGCTGTCGTGACTTCCTTGGCATTATGACCAAAAGATAGCCTATGACATCATGTTATAGGTCATAAACGTAGGCCATGTGCAAAGGGTCTGCAGTGATCAAGAGGCTGTTCAGTTATAAGACAAGAGGTAGGAACAACTATGCTGCGCTCTCTCTCTGTAATAAAAAGCCTCGTTAAGGCAACTGCAGCCACCTCCTGCAGTCTCGGATTTGTGCCTTAAATTTTATGCTCTTAAAATTTCTATTTTCCAAGAATAATCCTGTAGTAACCACCGAGGACAAGCAAAGGTGGAGGGAGGGGGTGGTACGGGACGTTACAGGACTGATGCTCAGATGCTTCCTTCCAGTGTCACTAGACAGGGGTTGGGATCTGCTAGAGGAAGGAATATCCTGTATTTTGTTACTGGACAGCAGGTGGGGAAAGGGAAGAGGATGGTGCCACTGGACACGACTGGGATTGATGCAGCAACAAAAGGACTGTTCACAGCTAGTGACTGCTTAAAGCAAATGTTTTTCAAAATAAGGCACAATTTGGTAAGGGGTATTTGCTTTAATGTGACCATTACCTCTCTTTCACGACCACTTGAAGTGCACAGAAAGCAAAGGTGCACAAAATAAGGCACAATTTTGCAAAGGGTTTTCTCTCTTTCATGACCATTTTTAGGGGGAAAATGCACAGAAAGTGCACAATTCAAGTAGCAGGGGACTAGGCGCTAGAAAAGTTATGACTATGGCTGCATTTACTGCCAGGAAGCCATACTGGGAACCCTGAATATTGCATTTCAGTACAATGTCCTATATTAATCCAAACTTGTTATGCACTGATTTAGGGGTCTTTCAAGTCATATCAAGAACAAAAGAGGCTGAAGCATCCAGAATACCTTGCATTCAAAAAGAAATGCAAAAATCTTGAACTCTTGGTTCAGAGATGATCCCTTTTATTAGGTCTGAGAAACTGCAAAAAATATTTTTTTTCCTGCATTTTTTGGGCTTTTTTGCATTCAAAAAGTCATGCATGACTCTACTAGATGAATGCAAAGGAAGTAAATAAATGCACACTGCATCTAAATTCGCCTTCTGGTTGCAGGGCTACGAGCCTGTCTTAATAAGCTACTTCAAAGAGGAGGTGGGAAGGTGCGTTGCGTTTGAGGTAGCAAGAAGGCATCCTGTCGCAGCTCTTCAAATACTGCCAGCTAGCACACAGCTATAATACTTAGCCGGCACTCACACGAGGAGGAAAAAATGCATCTGCAAGTCAGAGAAACTGGAGTAAACTTTCTCCTATTTTAATGTAATTAATGATTGTTTTCCTGAAATACCTCAAACAGACTTTCAGGCAACAAAGCACCAGCTGCTGGGCTGCACGTATGTGAAGTACATCATGTACCTAATAAATGTGGAGTATGTCACGTATATGGAGTATGCCACATACGTAATAAATGTATTTTGGACACTAAAACTACATGGCTTTTTCTTGATTTCTATCCTGTTCTCTTGTCAAGTCAGCAGATTGGCAAGTCCCCTCCCAAAACAACCAAAGTTAAAATTAACAGTGTCATGGGCAAGTAGCAAACTCCTACTGAAATAAAGTCACCCTCACGTAAGCAATGCAACAACTTCCCTCGGAGAAAAAAAAAGGAGCAGAAATGACAGGAAGAATAGGACATACTTACTTTTTCGGATCCTAGGAGAGCAATAAGAAAAAAAGAGAAAGTTAGGGAGAGCAAGAAAGTTTCTGTTTCTAGGGACGCAGCAACGAGTCAAAAAGCACAGCTGACTGAGCCGGTAAATCACTTGGATAACACAAGAAACTGCTTTATCCTGGGTTACCGTAAAGCTCCGGTACTTAGCGCCTCCAGGCTAGAACCAGGCACATTTATCAAGGATCAGCCAGATACCCAGGTGTATGTTTTCAAATGATCAGCACTAAAAAAACCCCATTGGTTATGTTCCCACTGCTGTTTTTAAACCAGTGGCATGGTCAGAGATCTGTCGTATGGGGGATGAACAAGCTGCGATATGCCAACTGGGTATTTCACCAATTCACCCACAATTTAAGTGGTCTGTCAACCCCTGGGCCAAGGAAGCTCAGGAGCAACTTGCCCAATCTACAAATGCTTGTAGTCAGCGATTGTTTGCGGCATCTTGACTAGCTTTTAAAGGCATTAACTACCACCTCGATCGCTTGGTGCCAATGGTCTAAGCACCTGTCTAAGGTGCCCCAACAGTCGCACCAGCCTCGGGACTGATTTGACTTGATCACTCAGCAATGAATTAACTCAAAAGACTCTAAAAACAAGACTAGGGCAGATATTTCTTTAAAGCCTTATGCAAAAAGCATCTGCAATAAAGTTTTGTGTTTTTTTATATAGACAAAAGAAATTCCCATTTTCATGCCAAACACGTTTTTAAAATCATATTGCTCCTCTGAAAGGCTATCAGACACCCTTGCTGTAGGCCCACTAAGCCTCGAGGGCACAGCTTGAATCAACAGAACTCAAAAATCATGTTTTTTAAGAAAGTGCTTTAGCGAGGAAAGAAAAAAAAAAAAAAAAAATCTTCCAAACGGGCATGATCTGCAACAGATGAAATGCCGTCTTCTGGGAGCAGACTACAGCCCACCCGAAACAGCTCTGTGATCAAAAGGCCACAACCACTCATCTCAAGGATATAGTAAGCCTTAAACCCAACTGTAAGATTTTAAAAGCTGGATTTTCACATTACACGAGTGCAAATTGCACAAATTGACAGGACAAG